GATCATCGACCATTAGATTCACAATGGATTTCATATGATATGACAGCAACAAAATTTGAAGAACTTATGGCTAAAACACAAATGCATGAAAGAGAAGAATTCAAATCATTAAAAGCTTTAAATATATTCTATCAAGTTAGTTCTTTTTTCATAGGAAAAAAACTGATTTTGTTTAGACATAATCTTAATCCTACAGCTAATCCTGAAGGCGCTTATGTACATAAAAATAGTTTGAATCAAATCAACTAAGTGTTTACATAATTCATTTACGAGATTAGCACCAAAAGGAGATCGAGATGGACTTAAGGACACATAGTTCTAGTGACGTAACCAGGGTATGCCATGGGTTAGCACCGCCTACTCTCCGAACCTGTTCGCCTACCCACCCGTCAATTTCTGATTACGCCACTACATAGTTCATATAGAGTTGTCCCTAGCGGAGGGTGTTTGATAGCAGAATATGACCCTCTCAATCTTGAAAATAGGAACTCAATACTCAGATACGATTATCGTATTTATGTAGATTCTGTACAAAAACTATAGACGAAATAAATCATATTTTTTTGTTCCTTTAGGCTGGTTTTAGTAAACAAAATAATCCTGTATTTTATTATATTGCACGTCGTTTTAAAGTCAATGAAATGAATTGTGATTTATTAATCTATCATGTTCTATTAACATTAAAACCATTTCAAGCTAAACCATTTGAATTAATTATTGATTTTACTCATACATGTACTGATAATCGTTTTAAAACAGATTATTTATCAAAATGGTTTATTTGTATGCCCGATTGTTTTTATTATAATCTTCAAGCATGTTATATTTATAATTGTAATTCATGGGTAAGAGAATATACAAAATATCATGATAGAATATTATCAACAATAAAAGGTACACGAAAATTAATATTTCTCGATCATATATCACGTTTAAATGATTTTATTGAATTTGATCAACAAAAATTACCTGGGCATACATTATCATTAGAAGAAGATCTTCGTGTATTTAATAATGCATTAAAATTATCACATAAAGATACAAAAGTTGCAATTAAAGTTGGTCCACAAGCTATACAAGTAACATCAAGTGAAAAAACGAAAGTTCTTGGTCATAGTGTTTTACTGAATGATGTTTATTATGCATCTGAAATTGAAGAAGTTTGTCTTGTTGATGACAATCAATTTACATTAACAATAGCAAATGAAACCGGTCCATTATCATTTATTCATAATGATTGTGATAATATTGTTCAATCTATTATTCATATTCGTACACGTTGGGTAAATTTCTTTTTTTTTGTAATTATATCAAATAAAATATTTTGATGTTTTAAAGGAACTTGCTCAACCTGATTCCATTCAAATTCATAATAAAATTCGTCCAAAAGATGTTCCTGGAACATTATTAAATATTGCATTATTAAATTTAGGTTCACTTGATCCATCATTACGTTCAGCAGCTTATAATTTATTATGTGCATTAACACAAACATTTGATTTACGTATTGAAGGTCAATTACTTGAATCATCTGGTCTTTGTATACCATCAAATAATACAATATTTATAAAAACAATATCAGAAAAATTAGCATTGAAAGAAGCACATTTAACATTAGAATTTTTAGAAGAATGTATTGAAGGTTTTAGAAATTCAACAATTGAATTAAAACATCTTTGTTTGGAATATATGACAAAATGGTTACCTAATTTAACAAGATTTTGTAAACAAAATGATGATAATAAACGAATGAAAGTTTCAATGATACTTGATAAATTAATAACATTAACTATTGAAGAGGATGATATGTATCCATCAATACAAGCGAAAATTTGGTCAAATATTGGACAAGTTAGTGATTTATTAGATATTGTTTTAGATTGTTTTATTAAACGATCTGTACTTGGCGGTCTTGGATCTGTTCAAGCTGAAATTTTAGCTGATACAGCTGTTGCATTAGCGAGTTCAAATGCATTATTATTTTCACGAAAAGTTATTGGACGTCTTTGTCGTTTAATTGAAAAAACATGTTTATCACCAACACCAACATTAGAACAACATTTAATTTGGGATGATATTGCTATTCTATTAAGATATTTATTAATGCTTTCATTTAATAATTCACTTGATGTTGCATCACATTTACCATTTTTATTTCATATTGTTACATTACTTGTTAGTACAGGTCCATTAACATTACGGGCATCAACACATGGTCTTGTTATAAATATTTTACATGCTTTATGTACATGTTCACATCCACAATTTAGTGATGAAACACAACGTGTACTACGTTTGTCATTAGCTGAATTTTCTCTACCAAAATTTTATGCTTTATTTGGTTTATCAAAAGTTAAATCAGCAAGTGTCATCGCATTTCGTACAGGTATTATAAGACAACAGCAACATTCAAGTCATCTATTATCATCAGATAAACAACAAAATGAACGTTCAATAATGATGACAAATATGTATTCACCAACAATTGAACAATCGGAACGAATGAGTTTAACATCACTTGAAACAATAACAGATACATTATTAGAATTAATGGAAGCTTGTATGAATGATATACCTGATTGTGAATGGTTAGCACAATGGCAAGAATTAGCTAAACGTTTTGCATTTCAATTCAATCCAGCTTTACAACCAAGAGCTATGTAAATATTTCTCCTCTTTTGTAAATTCTTAAGTTCATTTTCTTTTAGTATTGTCTATGGTTGTATATCAAAAACAACAAGTGATGGTGAAATCAAAGTTCTATTACGTATTCTTGTTAAAGCACTTGAATCATTTTCTGATATTGATTTAATTGATGCTATTATTATGTGTTTAACACGTTTATTACCATTATTATCACCGGAATCTAAAATACATAAATTTATGTTTTGGATATCAATATCAATATTACAACTACATCAAACACAATTATATGCATCTGGTTTAGCTTTATTAGAACAAAATCTTCATACACTTGATCATATGTTAAGTTTATTTGAAAATACAAGTACGCATCAACAACAAACTTTAGAAAAAATTATGATGGATGCACGTGAACCATTAGAATGGCAATTTAAACAATTAGATGCTAGTATGGGTTTATCATTTAAATCAAATTTTAATTTCGCACTTGTTGGACATCTTATCAAAGGATTTCGTCATCCAGTTCAATCAACTGTTGTACGAACCACACGTGTTCTTTCAACTCTTCTTAGTATTGTTGCTAAATCTGAATCTCATGATAAATTTAAAGTAACATCAACATCAATACCATATTTAGCTGCATTAGTTAGTGTTGTTGA